CACACACACACACACACACACACAGTCAGCTTCTGAACAAGCCCCTCATCAAACATTGTAGATTTCACTGATGATTATTCCTAATCGCTCTCTCCTCGTGGGTTCGTTGAATCGGCCTCTTCATGTTTCAGACAGAGAGCCCTCAACTGCAGCTAATGACGTCTGAACAAACTTTCACCACTTTTATCGTGACCAGTCGTATGTGGTGTTGGACTGTAAGTTAGAGAATTGTTGGGTGTAGATCATTTAAATTTAAACCAAGATATGTTCTTTAATGCAAAACCTCCACAGGAGTCAAAAGTCAAAGACTACAAATCCAAGGGGCAGAGGTTAACGTCTGGAACATCACTTGTCTGGTTTAATCTCAAAAGCTAATCCACTTCAGCAACAGGGTAAAGAGCTACTGAACCTGCAAGATTTCCTGGAAACAGACAATGGTTCCGCAGGTCGAGATCCACCAGGACAACCAACAACTGCAGTGAACGTTTCTCGATATTAAGATCAGCCATTATCACAGTTTGGTGGTAAATTTGCATTTGCTATTTAAAGTTCCTTTTTTTTGCATCATATAAAACTGAAAGGTCTGAGTTGCATCATGCAGCAGATTCTCTCCTGCAGACTGAGGTGCACCTAAAATATCATCCGTCTGTCTGCTGGATGGAGATATACATCATTTTCAATATAGACTGAAAAACTAAAACAGCATCACAATGACTCCAGATGACAAATGTAAAAATTGAAGAGGTCTCAAGCATTTATTTGCAACATGTTTGCTGTTTAAGGTTTCTTCAATCAACCAATCTTTTTTTCATCTACAGTTGTCTAAGAAATGTTTTACTAACATTAAAACGACTGAAGGGCAACAACAAGTTGAAATGATCAGTTTGTTATCAACAATCTCATTATGGAACACCCACACACACACACATGCAGCTTCTCGACAAAGCAGTCTAATCTGTAGTTGTGATCTCTCTGTGATTCCTGACAAACTGTGCCAATCAGCAGAGATCACACAGGCCCTAATCTCCAGGTCTTTAGATCCAACAGTGCAGCTCCGTCCTCCAACTAATCTACAGCCCTGAATGACTCCTGACTTGTGTCCTCGCCCGCCGCAGATAATTATCAGACATCAAATCAGCATCAATCATGAGGAGGAAGCCCTGAAGATATAATTCTTCTCCAGAATCAATCTATCTGGATGGATTCATTCAACTGAGGCTTCAGCCACTGTCCTCCAACACAGCCAGACACCAACACAAACCCCAGCTATTATATCTCAATGACTTCTTCACAGCTTCTGCATCCACACTTCTGTTGCAACTTCACCGATCAAAGATCTGTACTCAGGAAGTAATATTCAATGCAGGAATTTGTGCATTTCTTAGTTTGCAGAGTAACAGACTTATATTCCTTACCTGTGCGTCTACAGGTGTCTCTGCATACCGGTGGTGTGGAGATCCAGAGTGCGCCACAGCCGGCACAAGTGTGCTGGGATTTACAAAGTGGCTGCCTGCGCCTAACGGGATTACCCAGCACCACCTGAAGGTCAAGGCACAATCCTGGACAGTGAGCAATTGCAGATTAACGGCAGAGAAAAGTATCATATAGGACAACACATCATCAGACAGAAAACCACAGAAAACTGCAACAAAGAAAATGATGATGTCTACCTATTAAAGCTGCAGACTCTGTGTTAAATCTTGTGTTTCTGATTCTTTTCCATTTCCTTTTGTTGTGATAACGAACAAACCTGACCTACATGCACACGGTATTTGTTGGTGTATGTGGCAGCTTGAATCTCCTGTTTTCTTGTCCACCATCTCTGTTCCTCATTATCCCGTCCTCATTACAGTTTGATCCCCCAGCAAGTGACGCAGCGCCTTTGGCTGACCGGCCAGCAACGAGATATATCGAGACAAGCATTTGCATAAATGACAGTCTGATCAGGGCTCTGTTGTTCAAGTACTGCAATTTGTATGTATACACAAATTAACTTATCTTGGATAATATATTTATAAAATACTAATAATGATTATAATCTCTACCGTCCATCTTTATAACATTTTTTAATTCTCAGATTAATTTTCTTCAATGGAACCCTTCCTATAGAAGCTGTAGCTTGAGCGTTTTTTTTATTAGGTGAGCTAACAGATTATAACCCAGGGGTTTCAAAAAATGTTCCTTGTCACCTCTCTATAAGACGACACACTCTTCTCCCCTTGACACATTTAACGTGTCCATGTTTTGTTGGTAAGAATATATGATTTTCATAATATTTAATATAAATGTGTGTAGCAGCTGTAGTTTTTTCTCTTGTCCTGCTCCGTTAATCATCTCCTCTCGGGACCCTTTTGGAAAGGACCAAACCCCATTTGGAAACCACCACACTTAACCACATGACCATATATATAAGAATTTAAAATCCTCCATCCAGCAACCAGCTGCAACAACAAACTGTTGTTAATGTATTTTAAATTTATCACATGCTTTTCTCCATCAATACTTGTAGAAAAAAGTTAGATATCCTGTTTTTAACAATAATGGGGGGAAAAATCAGGGAAGAAAAAGAAAGAAAAGAGAAGAAGGAAGATAAATGTTAGAGGAGATAACAGGAGGAGAGAAAGCTTGGCATGATTCTGGAAAGTGATTAGTGATTATCCAGATCTGCCCTCGCTAACTAAGCAGCTGGTAAGCAGGAAACGACACATCTTGATCTAATGGGTTGTAATATGATGAATGATGATAAAAAGCTGCAGCAGTGGAGATCCAGACAAACGTGAGCATCAGACATGCTAAACTGAACATGTCAGGTAAGAGTCTGGAAGGCAGAGCCCTGGAGGGGTGGAAAAACATTCACTGGGTCAGACGTCAGCCCGAGTCCTGCTGTTGTGCTGCAGAGTGGGAACCACACAAGAACTTGTGCTGTTGCTGAGGCAGGAGGCTGTGAGCAGATCCCATTATCAGCTCAGCAGGGGATAAGCTGGGAGAACATGTCCATGACACAGACCCTTGGCTGGAAGATGCAGCTCCACACTGGCCTCAATCCTAAAATGAACTGCTGGATCACATGGAGGTCAGGGCAGGTTTGAGCAAAGACTCAGGAGAGAGGAAGAGAGAGTGAAACTGAACAAGTGTTTTCTCCACTTACAGGGAAAATCAGAGTAGTTTACACATTATTCATCTTTTTTATTAAATGAGGTGAAAGAGAAAGCGGACGATGAGGTAAAGCTGCGGTGGATGATCTGTGACAGAAGCTAATCCTGATTACCTCTGACACAAAGATGTGCAGGGAGGTGCTGTCACTCTCACAACAGACAACTGCACACGGCCCTCATGTGCACACACAGACACACAAATACATTACATCCCTACGGTGGTATTCAGATCCACAACTTAGTAAAACACAGCATGAAAGCTAATCGAAGTTCTCATCATGTACACCTGCTCCGTTTGAGTGTTACATTATTATATAACTGATAAAATTGTATTATTATTATTATTGAGGTACAAGTTATTTTATATTTTGTGAAAAATTTAGTTGAGTAAAAACAGAGACAATATTTCCCTGGAAAGTAACTAAATACTTAGTATGTTATACTTCTCTACTACATTTTAGATACCGAAATAGTTGTTCTGCCAATATTATAAGTATACAGAAAATTGCCCCACCTCATAGTATTTAAAAGGCAAGAATCAACTCCTCATCCAGCGACATTAAAATGCCACATGCACGTAAATACTTATTAATGATCATTCATTGATTTGAACTGGAACAGCACATATATTTAAATTCACTATACATCCAGATTTGTATTTGGATCTTCACCAAATTGCTTACACTCATGTCTGATTGAACATTAAGTTCCGTGAATGATTCCATGAGAAATCAATGAAAATGTTGCAAAACACAACATTGTTAAAGAAAGTGAAAAGAAAATTCTGAACCCACCCTCTGACCCAGATCCGCATCAACATTTTATGGGTTCTTTCTTGACCAATGATGCATCCCTCCAGAAAGTATATATATGAATATATATTTGTTGTTTTGCTACTGTTACGTAAAAAATGTATCTGTGTATAAAAAGTATTAAGCAGCATGAAATAACCTTTAACAAAGAAATGTAGTGACTCATAAAACGGAAACACTTGATTCAGTACTTCAGTAAATGTCCTTACTTACTTTACAGGACTGCACCTACAGTATGTATAACCACACAGTCATAATGTTCCTGTTATTTTCTGCTTTACTTTATGAGATTATTGTTCTGTTTGTGCTGCAGTCAGCATCATTTTAGAAACAAGGATTCCCTCTTGTGGCCAAAAGTACAATCGACTTCTTGAACTTGACATTTGCACAGCAGGATAAACGTAATTACAAGAACACAAAGCCATAAACTGCAGACAACCGCAGCATTGTGTTGCATTTACCTGTGAGTTTTATTGTGAAATCATTTAATGGACTCTACATGCCCTGCATGCATCAACATGGTAGTAATAATCTACAAAATGTACAAAACTACAAATTATAAGCAAAGTTTAAAAAAAAGAAGAAGAAACTCACTTTTAAAATGGTCCCTCATGCTATTTATAGTAAAAAAAACAAAAAAAAGCCCCCCAATGTTCAGACATACGGCCGATTCACGGTTCTGTTTCAAAGCTAGGCCGGAGATGCGGCGCAGATCCGACACAGAGGCATGAATTGGGCTATAAGGCACAACGACACATGTAAAACAAAATACAAGCACAATGTAAAGGCAAAGATATAAAGAAAAGGTTAATGATTGTAGCATGTGAATAGTGGCTTTACACAGACAAAGGTAAACAGAGACAGACAGAGAGTGAGAGGCCCAATGGAGAAATACACATTACTACAGGATCACATCACATCCTGCAGATGTTTGTGTGCACGGATCATCTTTTAAATGCTTGAGCTGAAGAAGAACATCAATACGTTAGACAGAAGCAGCAATCAGACAAAAAAGTACAGACTGAAAAACAAAAGGAAAAGAGAAAAGGTTCGAGGAGCGAGGGAGGGAGGGGGGTCACAGAGGAAGTCCTCTCTCGATCATGACAACAAGCAGAGCAAAAACAAGACATGTTGAAAAAAGAGGATTGGACTTCATGACCCAATGTAGGTCAGGAGATGCAACGCCAGCGCTGCCCCTCCCCGTCATTCTTCCAACCTCCCTCCTTCCCTCAGAAATGAAACGCTGGGTCACCCCTCCCTCTCTGCTCCTTAATCCCTCTTTCTCTCCCTCCCCATCACCATCCTTTTATTACCTCCCCCTTTTTGCATTTTTCCTCCACTCCCCTCTCTCCCGTGCCTGACATACTAAATCAGCAACATGTGGCTTTAATGGAAACCAGACCCTGATCCATTCTTCTCCAGCCTGCAGGCTGCACACTTAAATTAGCTTTGACTCTGTTCAGCTTTAGCATGAAAAAGAGAAGAGGAGATAGAGAGAGAGACTTTTACTCTTCACAGGTCAGGTTGAGCTGATGGGCAGATTCTGTATAAACCACAACGCTTTTTGATTCTATACTTTTAAAAGTGATTAAATTGCCCTCCCCACCCCTCTTATATTTCATTCGAGCCTCAACACCAGTCATATATCAATGTGTCTCCGCTGGGATCGTGTTTTTAATGGTGCAGTCTGAACAGTTATTGTGGCTGTGGTGGGAGGAGAGGGAGGCTGGAGCCCGTGTGTCTGTGAGCAAAAACTCTATGTGCCTTTGTCTGGGGAAGTGGTCGTTCTGTCTGTGTGTGTGTGCGTGTGTGTTTGTGTGTCTGCACATGTGGACATGCATGCACACATGAGTGCAGTGAGATATTTTTTTTTTTAGATCATGTGATACTGGTGAGAGTGTGAGCGCAGACAAAATGGGCTCAGTGGGAGTAGGGCAGTCATGGACGCACACAGCTGTCAGACATTCCTGCATGGGTCGAAGGATAAGCCTCTCCTGCTAGTGTGTGTGTGTGTGCGAGTGTGTGTTTGATAAACTCAGTTTACACGAACACACACACACACACACACGTCCGCACTGAAGCAACCTCAACAAAACAAAAACAACAAAAAACCGAACGAAAAGTGCAAATTCTCTGTGTTGAACCGAAAGAAAAAGTCAAACTTGTTGACTAAAAAGTTGTTCTTATTAGTGAATGCGTTTGTTTTTTGTTTGAAAAGCTGTAAGCACATGTTTGTGTGTATGTACAGTGTGTGTGCTTCTGGTTAATGTATGTGCATTATCGACTTTTTCTGCATTTAAACTACAAATACACCATCTGTCCCTCCTTTGTATAATTAGTCTTGTGTCTTTTACAGCACACATTTGGTGATTTTTCAAATTGTGATGTAAACAGGGATGATTTTTAAGAAATAGATGTTGTCAGACATCTGAAAGGCACAAAGGGAGGCACAGGAATAAAACCTCAAGGCCATTAGAAGGAAATTTATACTGTAGGTCCAGAGGCACCAGCTTTACGATAATTTCAAGTTCTCACAATGAATGGGATTCAAAAAGGTGACTCTTCCTCAGCTTTCTTAGACTTTAGTACTGCATCAAAGCCTCTTTCAGTCGCACGTGTGTAAAAATTTGATGCCAGCGACAGCACCACACAACTGATCAACACCTGTTCTACCTCTTCACACCCAGTCCTGCAGCGAGCGCTTGCAGTGCACCAAGGCCCTCGGAGTTTCTTTGTTCTGCAGAGTCCTGAGGATGGCGTAGACGAGGACGAGGATGCACAGGATGAGCACAAGAGGAACAGTCACCATGATCAGGGTCATGACCTTTGATTCATTGTCGTCCATCGACACTACAACGTTTACATCTTTGTCCTCCTCTTCGTCCGTGCTGTCGGGCTTTGAGCTGTGGTCTTCCTCTGCGTTCGTGTCCCTGTCCGGCTCTTTGTGCTCGTCTTCGCCTCGGTCTGAGGGCTTCACTGGTTTGTCTTTCGCTTCCTGCTCAGTGTCCGTGTCGGGCGGAGGGTCAGGAGCTCCCGTGCAGCCCATGAAGTCCTTCAGGATGGAGCGAGGGAAGCCTTTGTCTGCTTCTGTCTTGTGATTGTCAAACCTCCAGTAATTGGTGCCCTTGTAGAAATAGGTGTAAGCTGTGTGAGAGGGAGATAAAATAGATTTGGGTCAGAAAACTCACGTAGAATGGAGCATTAAAACAATGATGCCCTGACCTTGTCACTGCCCAGTAGAAAACATGGAGCTCATGGGGTGGGGGGTGTTGCATGAATGACTGCAGTGGCAGCAGCAACAGGAAGCAAAGAGATAGTTTTCAGGTGAGTAACGAGGAGCAGGCAGGAGAAATCCCAACACAAATATGGCGTCATCATAACAAGGTTTATTGGGGAAATACAGAGTTTTTTGTTTGTCCTCGTCCTTGTACAAAATGTGCTGTCATATTGTGGGTTATGCGTCAGGATAAATGAAAAATAGATCAACTGAAATCATTCTTTTCCAATGTTAATTAATACCTTTATTAACCTTTGAGAAAAAGCCCAATTAGTAATTTCAGGCTAAAGACAAAACAACACAGAAAATGTTGAAGGATTTCCAGACGTTCAGTAATTTGATCGACTCTGTTTGAACAAAAAAAAAGGTTCATTTTTACCATTTGTCTTGTCAATGTGAAACTAAGTTATTGGGGAACAGTTTATTCTCACTCTGTCCAACTTTCCAACATTTTGAACCAAAAAGTGTCTTTTGCTTGTCCAGAGCTGTTAAACAACAAGTTTTACATAAAATTCAAAACCATGAGAAAGCTAAATATCAAGTATGAGAGCAAATACCTCCGCCAAGGCTGATATCACCACAGTGCATATACATATATTAAGATCAGATACATACACAGAAACATTTTCTGTAAAGCGTTTACATTAACCACAGGCAAAATATTCATTCTCTGATATAGCGGAAAGGAATATTTGTTATTGTACTGTAACTGAATAGAGATAAACCCCCTTAATATACTTATTTTGATTCACAGACTCCAAACTATTATCTGGATCCGCACAAAAGTTCACAATTTGGAAAAACACCAGATTTTGCAATAGTAACATCACCACATCCAGATAAACAAAAGCAGATAATGTGCTCAGAATGTGGAAATAAAACTGGGAGCTGTAAACAAAATGTGTTGCAACTATGTGTTTACACGGTTGCCTTATTTCCAAATGATGAAGAGCAAATAAAAAAGGTGGTTGACTGACATAAATAATTGAAAACATACTTTCAAATGTAATTTTAAAACAATATAACGTCTGTATTGGCTAAAAAGTGGTGATTGTAAAATTATGTTAAATTCCGAGTTGTCCACATCAAAGTACCGCCAATAACATTTTAATTAACAGGTGCAGAGCAGAAATGTCAACAAGCAAAGCAGAGAATTTAAATCAGAGTTCTTTAAAATGACATCATTCTATTTGAGGCTAGAGAACTCAGCTGTGTCTCCATAATAAAGCCAAAGTCCAGCGTAGAGAGGCTGAGTGAACGTGGTCTGGACTCTGTGGAGGAGAGTCATGGTGGCAGAGACGCTGTAGAAGGACAGAACACCTGCACCGTGGTCCAGGTACACTCCGACTCTGGAGCACTGCGGACCCGACACTGGAGTTTTGATATTGTTGTGGTAAAAGTTATAACTGTATCGGTCACAATCTAACGTCCAGGATTTGTCATTGAGTCCAAATCCACATTCGCACGAGTTCCCTGCTCTGCTGATGCTCTTGTACGCAACTGCGACATAAACTCCTCTTCCTCTCCACTCCACCTCCCAGTAACAGCGTCCAGTCAGAGCCTCTCTGCTCAGGACTTGACACCAAATGGTGAATCGGTCCGGGTGCCAAGAGTAACACTGTTTTTTGTTCATAAATGTTGCTTTTCTGTTTCCCTCAGTTAATAAGAGACGTGTGTTTGCTGTGTTTGGATCCAGTGTGATTTCCTGTGAATACTTTAAGAACTCAGCTCTGGTTTTGGGCTCTCGTTGTGACGGTACAACAACAGTTGGAGTCGCCGTTAGTGAAACGTTTGTCCGTGTCTCACTGAGAATGTCCAGAAGTTGATCTCTGACCTTTGACACGGCGGACAACACATTCGCAAAGTACCTCAGAGGACGGATGCTCATGCTGGAAGAGTGTGTGGATCCACTGAGTGGTGACAGTAAGGGGTAGTTCTGCAGGAACTGGTTGTGATCCTCTGTGCATATGAGCTGCCTCAGTTCCGCGTCTCTCCTCTTCAGCTCAGTGATCTCCTGCTCCAGTCGCTCCTGAAGCTCTTTGACACGACTCACTTCAGTTTCCTGCTGGGATCTGATCTGCCGCTGCACATCAGAGCTTCTTTTCTCCACCAGACGGATCAGCTCAGTGAAGATCCTCTCACTGTCCTCCACTGCTTTATCAGCAGAGCCATTGACGGCCTCCACTTCCTGCTGAAGCACCTTCACATCTTTCTCTCTGTCCTGGAGCGTCTCCTGGATCGTCTCCCTGCTCAGCTCCAGCTCTCTCTGCCTCTCAGTCCTTTCTGCTGCAGCTGACACTGTGTCGTGGCCTTTGTGTTCATCCACAGGGCAGAGGTAACAGATGCACTGCTGATCGGTGCGGCAGAACATCTTCATCACTTCATCGTGACGGCAGCAGATGTTATCTTGGAGCTTCTCAGAGGGCTCCACCAGCTTGTGTTTCTCAAACGGAGCTGCGTCGTAATGGGGCTGCAGGTGTTTTTCACAATAAGAGGCCAAACAAACCAAACAGGACTTGAGAGCTTTCAGTTTTCTCCCAGTGCAGACATCACATGCCACATCTTCAGCTCCTGCATAGCAGCAGTCGGCAGAAGCAGCTTGGAGTCCGGTCTTCTTCAGATCCTGCACTAAATAAGCTAACATGGTGTTTTTCACCAGGACAGGCCTCGATGTGAAGATCTGTCTACACTGAGGGCAGGTGTAGATTCCCTTCTTGTCCTCATTGTTCCAGTGGGCATTGATACAGCTCATACAGTAGCTGTGTCCACAGGGAATAGTCACTGGAACCTTCAGCATATCCAGACAGATTGAACAGCAGAATTGTTTTCCGTCCAATAGATTTTCTTGCTGCGCCATTTCCCCTCGTGACAGTGAATGTCGGAAAGAGTTTCACTCAAAGGAAAACAATTCTCCGCTCCTTCTGCTCTCGTTCACTCACTTCGGTGATTCATTTCCTGCATTTCATACAGTGCTGTTTGAACCTATCCTGATACTTCTAGATATGTCAGAGGAGGAACCAAAGACATGTCTTGACAGGGTGGAGCTCTTTGTGTTTGAGAACAGGAAGAAGAGAGAGGGTTTTTCCGGCTTTACTGCATTTCATGAAGATGAGCTGTTTGTGAGAGGAGGAGGTTTTTATTTAACTGTATGTTATCCTATGTTTAACTAAAGAGTTGCACTGGGAGCCGTCACATTCATCTCAAAACAACACACGTGGTAGTATCCAGCAAAATCAATAGAAGTTATTTAGTCAAATAACAAAGAACTCCTGAAGTTTATGTTTAGTTTATAAGTTGTGTCATCTCTGATTATATAACTGATTCCTGAAGCCCAGTGACGAGCTGAGACGAAAATAACAACAAGAAAAACCAGCAACTGGCAGCTTGAAATCAGAGAGGTTAAAATATATTATTACATATGTTATAATCACACTGTGTCAGTTTGATAACTACACACTGATGCTGCATTCAGGTGACATGGAAAAAATGGAAGAGAAGAGTTTCCATCAGTTGTCCAGTTGTAAACACAACATGGGAATGTTAAGAATAAATAGATGACTAAATTCAAATAGATTTCTGAGTGTCAATGTGAAGTGAAAAACCAGACTTTAGAACAGTTTGGGTGGAGATAAGATCGGAATGTTACCGAGTGAGAGCATTCAGAGCAGCTTTGCCACAAATCTAATTTCCAAAAAGGACATTGCCAACCCTCAAGCCAGAGCCCTCATTCCTCCCTTCTCTCTCTCTCATCCTCTCACCCTTCTCTCTGCTCCGCTTGCTCCAGCCCAACCAAGCTTTTCCCTCTCTGTCTAACACACCCCATATCACCCCTCTATCCTTTCCTCCCTTCCCTCCCTCCAACTCTACCCACTCAGGCTGTTCTCCTGCGGTCAACATTGTGTGCACAGCTTTTGGTGTTTGTTGTCTCACCAACGGGAGCTTATCTGAAGTTCCCTTTCATCAAATAAAAACTGGATTTAAAAGTCATTATTTACCACTATCGTCACTGAGAAAGGCTCCTTTGGGTGAGGGAGGAATCCGGCCCCATCTGCTGATTGGCTTGGGGAAGTCACGGTCCGTGGTCCGGGTCTCCTCGCTGTATCGCCAGTATCTGCCCACAGACATATAGAGAAATGTGTAGATCTATAGTTTAATGACTGACCTTAAAAGGACAACTGGGACGATATCTATTTTCATGCTTGCTGTCTTAATAGCCCATGTTGCATTCTTGTGCATGTGTCAGTGATATACCTGTCTCCTGAGAAGAAGTATGTGTATCCGTTGGGCTCCCACCAGATTGCGGTGTCGATATTGTGCGTAGGAACTCCTTGTCCATACTCGTGTATTGGCTGCGGGTATCCTGGGAGAACATCAGCTTCCCTGAACACCCAGTATCTGTCCTCTGCAGGGACAAAAGGACCAACGTTTCTCTAAAGAGATGGTGACACACAGTGTAACATTCCTGCACAGGTACCAGGCTAAAATTAAGAGAATGGAAATAAAAGAAAAAAGGTATGAGGGAGAGAAACAGAAACCAAGCAGGGCCAAAACCTGTTGGCACATGGGAGGAAAAGCAATGGCTAGAACATATGGCATATGTCATGGGGTTTACCCACTCCAGAGGAAAACTGGAAAGGACAGGCAAGGTAGAAATTGTAGGCATAACACTGATTTTCCAAGATTTCCTTAAGTGGGAGCCAGTTTCTCCCGAACCCTAACCTTTGGACACACATTCAACCACTTTCCACCTCCACTGCCAGGGTGCTACAGCACTGCAACACTCAACAATAATGGCTAAGCTTGCACACAGTGGCTTTTACTAGTCACTGCACACTTACATTGAAATACTGTTAAAATATTTTGAACCGATGTTTCTTCTGCTGCAGTACTTAAATCATTTCTGTAGGTTTTCATGCATATTTTATCCAAGACTCCTTGGAGTAGATGCAAAAAATTTGTACAGATTCTGCAGCTCTTTCATTCATGCTGAATTAATTCATGATCGATAGCACAAAAGATCCTGAAAATGCACGACAAAGCCCAATATGGCCTCATTGCTAAAGTGAAAGCTCTGCAGCTGCTCACATCTGGAGCAGAGAAGGCTGATGCAATCCTCCACCACTCTGATGAGGCCTTTTGGGGCTCAGCTGGACTGGAGTCGTACTGGGCCAGTAACAGCTGCCACACTGCACTCATTCAACAACTCAGTAACACACACAAGAATAAAGTTGGTGAGACAATCTCTCACACACACACACACACACAAGGGGCTAGGGAATGCATTATGTCAATGTGTGTGTGTGTGGATGAGGGGGAGAGAGAGAGAGAGCGTGCCAGCAACACAGTTATACACTGTGTTGAATTATTACCATCACCTCATGAATCACTCTGGGAGGGAGAAAATTTAGCACAGTTTCCGTATGAACAAATCAAAGTACAAATTTGTGTCCTCTCACCATTTTGTGTTTGTGGAGCTCACACGTCAACAGCTCCTTGCTGGAGCTCAACTCTGCAGCTGTGGATCTGACCTTTTGTTGTGCCCTTAAGCGCTAAACCATTAAAATGCTCAACATAGTATTCTAAGAGGGTCTTGATGTAATGTACCAGCATGCGGGCACGATGTAGGCAGAGCGGCAGGTTTTTTACTGTCAATAAGCAGCTTTGACGAACCTTTAAAGAAGACAAATTTGCCGTCGTGGCGTTCATAGGCAGCATCGATGTCACTGGGAAGGCCAATCCAGAAGACAGAAATGGGCATAGGGTAGTTATCCAAGACCCGGTTTCTCCGCACCCGCCAGAACCAACGACCCTGCACAAGTAAGGAAATGAAATAGTAACGTCTGTGTTTCATCTTTCATTAAAAATATTCCCCTACACAACTTTATCCTGTTGTGACTCTGAGCTGCGTCCTGTTGGTAACAGAGTTGGAAATGTTCCTTCCTGTGTAGCTCAGAGGTTGTAAAAATACCAGGTGGCAGTGACACGCTCCTTGATCCACAACATGTGGATGGAGCTTATAAATAAAAAGAAATTAAAAAATAAAACTTCTGCAGATTCTCACCTTGAAAACAAACATCTCCCCTCTCAGCATGGTCACTGTGTCGAAGTCCCCATCACAGATGTCGGGGGCCTTGTTGTCAGGCTGCTTGGGAGGCCGAGGAGGAGCAGGCGGCCGAGGAGGAGGAGCAGGTGGAAGAGGAGGATCATCTTTTCTTACCGGCGGGGTGACAGGTTCTGGTTCACGCTCTGAGATGGTAGAGGTGGAGGTTGGGAGGACGGGAGTTGGGTTAGGGCCGCGGGTTGGCTCCGGACGGGCCGGGGGATCCTGGCTGACGTCGGTCGGGTTGGGAGGTTCAGGTATGGGGTTAGTGGGGAGAGCAGGAGTGGCGGCATCTTCAGGAGGAGAAGGGGAGGTTGGGGAGTCACCTTTGGGTCCCTTGTTAGGGGTGTGAGGAGAAGTGGGCGGAGCATTAGTGGAGAGAGGGGGACCTAAGAAAGAAAATACGTTTCAAATAAGAAAAGGGAAAGGTCGACTTTCACAGTTCATAATAAAAATGGGAAAACAACTTCCAGCTGAAATGAAATAAATCCCACCAGTCCGTCTGTGTGGAATTTGTTTTATGCTCTCCTCTCTTCTCCTCACAGTGTCCTCTTTATCTCCCTCTCACACAAAGACAAAGTCATTTTCCATTTTGTGCAGCGGCTAAAAGCTCCCACTGTGACTGGGCTGCTGCACTTTGGAAAACTAAGCCCTGCTGGTTGCTACGAGAGGACAACACACAGATACAGCCAGTTATGTAACACCTACAGACAGCTGATGGGCTTAAAGATGCACCAAGTTACTCTGGGCCAAAAATATTTCGAGGAATATATCAAGGCTGCTGTTTGCCAGATACTCAGCCAGTAATATGTGGAATTCAAAAGCAGTCTCTCTGCTACAATCCAATAATATTTTGTGGCCACAAAAATGACCTCGTTTTTCCAGATTTTTGGTAACTTGCTCAAATCTATGCTAAAGTCTGATCTACTTTACGTCTACACATCTTCCTCAGTTTGTGGTATGGACGTGTATTTTAGAACCTTTAGAACGTATTAACATCCATTACAAGTGGACAGCTCTATGTACATGTGTGAATGCGACCAGGACGTATTAGAGAGCCGATCACTCAGACCCCCTTTGGAGGTGGTCTGAGACGCACGCGGGCCCATTCTCCTAGCTGTGTTAATGCAAATGCCTCCTGGACCACATCTGAAGGGCTGCCCCCTCAGCTGATGTCTTCAGACCTCCTACAGTTTGAACCCAAAGTATTTTGAACAAAAAAAAATGGATTGTGTGATAACATTTTTTCCTTTAAACCTTTTGCTTTTGTTGCACATTTCAAATGACTTATATACCGTCTTATTTCACAAGTTGACTGGCTATCTTTTACAGCAAGTAATAAAAAGCAAAATGCTCCAGAACTGGACGTGAATTGATCCCGTGTCACCCCTTTCCTGAAAGGGAACATATGAGGAGCTGGGGAGGAAAAACTAACCCTGGAGGCCGAAAACCACAACACTGCTGCCTCTTTAATAAAAAACGTCCACAAAGGAGAAATGTTTCTTTCTACCAACAAAGTTTATGCTGCATCTGTCTTCAGATCCTTTTTCTATTCTAATCAGAGCTTCCCTCACTCACAGTCAGTTATTCAAGATCTGCTTAATAAAGGGAACCTACTGTATAATCTCAGTCCAAACATTTACCTTAGAGAATTTACAGCAGAAAACCGACCAGACTTTTCACATCGGCTTCGCCAAAAATCTTTCCTCCGATGCAGCCCAGGAGTGTAAGGCACATCAACAGGCCAGCATTTGTGTGGGTGTGGAAAGATTTTGAGTTTGCCAAAGTAAACCATTCCCAAAATGAATGCGATTTTTGATCTGTTTTGCGACACCACAGATGTGAACAGGACCAAACAACGAACAGAAACAAATGTGGGTAAAAAGGGGGAAAACGTTCACCTTGCTAGAAAATCCCTGTTTTTGTGAAGAAGTAAAAGAATCATTCGGTATAAACAATGTCTGGGATCAATTCAGATCTGCAGCCTGTAATTACAGCTCTAATAAGAGGGTCACTGCAGAAGCACACCCACGTGTAAAAACAAACATTTTAATTAACATATGAGCTCTTTGTCTATCCAATACACACACACACACACACACACACAAAGATGTTGTCTGCCAATTAACAATGCCATCCATTCATACAGGGAATGCATGATAACATCATAACGGCATGCATGACATGCTGCTTCAAGAGCGGTCCACTGTAGTTGCGTGCGGTTCGGCCATGTGTGTCTCAAAGGAATCTAGTCTTCCTCTGACAAAGGTCCAGATGTTGAACGAGTGTGATATAACCTCAAATTACAGCCAACACTGTGTAGGTCAGCCTCACAGCGATCAGAGAGCCACAGCACTCTCAGGGTAGCAGCATGGGCGTGTGCCTCTCACCATATATGTGCTGTATTCCTCGGACGTCGTCCTCATGCAGTGTGAAGTTGTCAGTGTGAATGTACTGGTAAAAAGGAGCCATGATCGCGCTGGGGTTATCTGAGTGCTCCAGGCCCAGAGCATGACCGAGCTCATGTACCGCAACTAGGAAGAAGTCAATACCTGCAACATGAGACAGACACAGATACAGCCTGTAAGAAAACTTCATTTACAAACTGGAGGATATGTTTTCGTAGATTGACAGTACGAAAATGGTGTTTACATTTTAATAGTATGCCAGTCCCTTACATTGTGGACACGTTCAAGTTCAGTTCCCAGAAGAATAAAGATAAATTAACCCCCTAACCGTCTGGATTATGGTTGTCAAGTGTCCAGGGCTCGTCTGCATCAAAATGGATGTCCCCACCAATTCCTGGTCCGGGGTAGTAGGCGTGTGCCAATGAACCCCCCTCGCCGTCAAATAAGGACATATCACCATGGAAACCAGAGGCGAACAACAGCAGGATGTCAGCGAGCTCCGTCCGGCTGCCGTTGATCCTGATGTCGTTTTCAGCCGGCACCTCCTCAAAGGTGAGCGGGGTGACCCGTCTCCACACCTCCAGGGCCTTACGGAGAGCGTCGTACATCCGAACCTCTCCCAGCGAGGATGGGATGAGCTGGTTCACTATACTGAACCCAGAAGAGAACGTGTGCTACATTAAGTTTACTACGTACAACTTGTTGTAATATTTGAAATGTCAGTGCTACGAACCTGTAGGTGATGTGGTCTTTGTCCCACTGCTGCCCAGTAAGAGTGTAGCGTTTCTTCCTCGCACCATCAACCGTCTGCTCTGGGTTTCTGTCGGGGAGGCCGCAACGTGGTCGACGCATGGCTCTACACAAACACACGTACACAAAACACACACAATAAACTGTTAGGTGCAAAAAGAAAATATAATCTGTTTACATTTCGTAGACTACAAGTATAAAGATCACATATCTTTACAGTAGCCAGTTAGCTTAGCTTATGCCACCTTCCATTACACCTCGGAAATCATCCCTCGGAATGATGTCACACCCAAGTAACCCAAGTTGACAAAACCACTTCAGAATAACGGATTACGTAGCATTTCACACATACTAACTCCATAGAAAAATGCCCACAGACAGTAATTGGACAGTACTATGTGTACAACACATATAATAATTCTAATACACAGTAAAAACAACAGCTTTCACTACTTTCACTACAATTGAGGGGACGTTCCAGTTGCAACTTCCGACGCGACATTCATATAAAGACAGGAAACAACTAGCCTACCTCTGTCCAAAGGTAACAAAACGTCCCAAAGTGTTGTTCAAGCTTTTCTGTGTAACATCTATGTACAGAGCAAGGCTAACAGTTTCTCTCTGAATCCAGTCTTCATGCTAAGCTAACCAGCAGCTAGCCTACTTGTAGCTTCATATTTGCAGTATCAATACTCTCATCTACCTATTGACAGAAAAACCTCAACACAACCAATTTTCTAAAATGACAAACTGCTGCTTTAAGACCTTGTTATATTTCCTTCACCTCAGTTTACAGTATGAAAACAATGGGTCAGTGCGAATCAAGGTCAGTGGACATTGAGGATATGACATAATAGCCTGAATAAACTCATTAGCGAAGAGGTGAACTGAACTACAATGTGAACCTTATTATAGTAAAAAAAAAAGAAAGTTATTAAGAGCTGGCATTGTTTCAGTCGTCAGTGGTAATTTGAACACATTAATCTGGCAATGTCATCGAGTGCAGGAGGACTGCCAGTTCCCTGCAACAAATAGTTTCAGGATGTGTGGTTGTTCAGATGTGGTTTGTTGCTTAAACTTGTGGCCTTGTATTGTTCCAGCTATACAATAAGATGCATGAAAATAAAACAACTTTAAAATGAAAGCAAATGAATGATGAGTAAATTCCTACATGCTTTTAAAACGTCCCACAAAATCCAGTTTGTGGTCACTGGAGACAAAGCGTTGGTAATGTTGCATGTTTGTGAGACAGAAAACAACCACTGCTACTCAACAATAAAGAGCTTACGCGACAGTGCCGGGGTCCATCTCACCGGTCACCTCCAGCCCATAGAAGCGCTGCATGTCGCTGATGGCTTTGGACAGAATCTGAGCCGACTGCATGGTGGACATCTGTCTGCTCGCCTGAGACAGATAGCCAAACTTACGAAGCCATGCCTGCGGGAAGAAAACAGGAAATCTTTGTTGCTTTACAAAAGTTGTTCATGTGCCTGTTTTATAGAACGACTCATGGAATGGGCTGTTTGCTTGGTCTGTGTTAATGCTCAGAATTATTTCTAATCATAATAATAACAGTTTTCCTTTAATATACTGTAAATTTGTGTGCAGAGCTTTTTATAAACAGTCTATGGTGCAGAGTGAAGTTTGTGCTCATCCTTCCTGGTTTATCTGCAATAAAGATTTTATATTCAGTATTTTCATGAAATGAAACTGAATTAGCTTTATTTTTGTGTACATAGGTTTGAATGATTGACTTAAATGGTGTTATTTTTTTCATACATTGCATGTCAGCAACTTCAGAGGTCTGTTTAGCAATTGACAAAACCATGAAGTATTTCAATACTAATCACTGCAGCAACAAAACGAACATGTGCTTTTACTTTGAAGACAACTTGCGCAAGAGGAAGTGATTCTTTGAATGTTTTTGCCATGACGGAGGTCAACACCAGAGAATTGCGGTAGAATAAATCTAATCAGATTATCAAAATGATCTGGCCAGACAGATATTATTAGCTGCACACTGTAGTTTATCTGAGGATGTAGAAAAAGATTCAATTCAGATTGAGGGCACCCCCTCCAAAGATGGCTACAGAGAGCTGGTCGTTTCTGTTTTTGATAAATATTGAACGTATCTTGTGTCCAAATCACACCAAATTCAGCACTGCAGTTTCCTGGACCATTAACAATACACATGCCAAGTGTGAAATTTAGTAGGTTTAGATGAGCTCACCACACAGTGTATGGTGACTGGCACTGTTCTGCTAATCTTGGAACAAGCCAGTGTCTAATGACAGGAGAGAGCATCCGAGGAAGTAAAAGAAAGTAGAGATACACAACAGATGGCTTCCATTAACATTACTACATTCCTCCTTTTTTATTCCTGCACCAAGAAGAGGGGGAGAGGAGAGCGAAACAGGAAAAGACAACAATTAAACTGTATGTCAATCCATTTAACACACGGCTCTACATATGTGCACTTCAGACACACTGTCTGGTGACACATTTTCCCTCTTTCTCTGAAATTCGCTAGAAGTGAAATTGAGTGTGTGGAGCCACATGTCCGAGGCAACACAATGTCTCCTGAGGGAGGAACAATCTCTGTTAGGTTTTAAGATTTATCCTTTAGGAGGCCTCAAGACAAAGAGCTTTAAACACACCACAGGGCCTCACATACTGCAGTTCAGGTACAGGCCGGGGGCAAAATGTACACACTGAGACAGAAAATCCTTCTAGACAATTTCTGCATAGCATGACAAGTCTCAACCTATGTCAGAGTGAGCATATTCACATCAGCCTGAAGAACACGAAACAAAGGAAACAAAAACTCTTTGAATACCAGGGGTGTGCAAATCTAAATATAATATATAATATATACAAAACTGCAAAAAGGAATACGGTGAGGCAGCTTTCTGTGATCATGCACCAAAGATATGAAATAAACCCCCCACCCAAATGAATTCTCTGTTCAAAAACATATTTTTATGATCCTCCTTCACCCTCTTGAGCATGTTATTGTTTTAACATATTTTACTGTCTAAATAAGTTTGAAGCTTCTGTTGTTCTGTTTCAAATCAAGGAAGGAGTATTACATTACCTCATCTCAGCAGATTGAATTGTCTCAGGATATTACAGTTGTGTATATAACATTGTCAATAATCATTTATTTGTCATCACAGCAGTTAAGGACAGGAAATGCTTTACGTAAAATGTAATTATAAGTGCTTAGAATTACATCATAGTATGTTATAAACAATTATTGATGTGTATATGTATGTATATGTATATGATAAGGAGTTGAAACGGAATTAATTCGGTGTTACGTCATTCAAATGTTATCATGAAATGTTTTTTAATATATTTTAACAAAAGTATAGATTGATAAATAGATAGAGCGATAAAGATATAGACAGATAGAGAGCGATGGAGATATAGAGATAAAGTTAAGATAGAGAGACAGACAGATATATAGATAAATAGACATATAGCAATATTATTTCTATTGTAAATTCTTAAACTATTTTAAAATATAATAATTTAATAGTGGGACCATCTCCAATGTAAATCAGGTGTATACAGGTTGATTATAGTAGTATAAGTATATGTACTTTGCTTTATAGACATTATTACTCTACCTCAGCACTGAAGCCTTCCTCCTCTGGCACATCTGTCTCTGTGCTGCACAGGCTTAAGGAGCAGGAAGACAATAATGTGATGATGATGATGTGAGTCAGTGGTTGTTGTTGTTGTTGAGACGCCATCCTCCTCTGGGATCTGCTGCCTGTGGCCCTCAGCTGGAGCTCAGAGATGTGGATGGTGTGCTGATCAAAGTGCTGAGGGTTTGTTTCACCCTCTTCTCTTCACAAGTTCCCAACAAGTGAACTATCTGCTCATGTTTGGAGTTTACACATCAGGGAAAAAAAGAAAACATCCAACTTAAAGATTCCACTCTAATAAAAAGGGTTATGCACAAAGTCTCAGGAATCAGAGTGATACTAATCCATTCCCGGCTGCAGGCAGTCCGACCTGGCCCGGGACAAATGCCTCATGGCTCAGACAGCACATCTCCCCCATGCATTACAAACTCCAGCAACCAGCAGGGGAGTGAAATCCTTTCTCCTCCCTCAGGCCCACAATGGCTGATCACTAAAGTGAGAAGGATCCTTCTGCAAAAACCAAAGGAGCGTCTGAGCGCATGAAAAGCGCCTCAAAAGTTGTCCAATCAAACTCTGAAGTTGTGCACAGGATTATCCAGACCAGCGTCAAGCAGCTGTCCGGCAGATAAAAGTTGTCTAATGATTTGGACCCTCCCCCCTCTTTGATAAAGCGGACCCGAGGAGACCACAGTCAGTGCGCCACCTGCTGATCCTGTGGGGAAAGTGCAGCTAAACATCAGCAACAGGCCCCACATAATAAGATCTCCAGTAGCCACAGAGCTCCATGCATGAAGTAGAATTCATCTGCAGGGGTTCACGTTGCATCTTGATACATGTCACTTCAGAGGCTGTTGCCTGATTTCAGTTCAGTGAATGTGAAGTCAGACACCTGCAGAGTGAACGATCAGGCAGAAAGATGTTTGTTGTTGAATACAAATTTGTGCAGTCAGTGTATAGTGCACTTGTGACAAAAACAACTCAGATTTACTCCAATTGAAAAATGTAAATGCCAACAAAGACTGAAAACTCACCTCCTGAGTGCAGTCAGTGAGAGAAGTTTGTTTCCTCAGTTAAAATGTGAAAACTGAACTCCTTCTCCACAGTTTGCTGAGACCTGATTTCTTTTTCTTCAGGAGAGGCTTTAACTTTCAAACTACCAAAAGCAGTTTCCCTTCAAAAGTGACTCATTTCATTAAAATGTTGTTTCTTTATCATCTGAATCAAGAAAACGGTGAAATTGTGCTTCATGTAAAATACCTGAGTTCCCCCCGCTCCAACAATTAGTTTGGTCCACAATGCTCATTGAGTTCTAATGATTTTGGAGCCACAGTAGGCTGTCGGCCTACCGAGACAATATGTATTCAACATTACTGTAATGTAAAAATAAAAGTATCCTGAGTGATTCTTTTACCAACATTTAAATTGTGAATGTTGTAGAAACCTTTATTTAATGCAACTTCAACCATAGAACAACTTTGGATGTTGAATTAAAAAACCTTCTCTGTCTGTGAACACAAGGAACTGTAATATAAAGTAGAAAGAAAAGAGAAAAGAAAAGTCTGAATGATATTCAGCAACAATAAAGTGTCCAGGGATCAACAAGCAAACAGGAAAATAACACTTTTCAGGAATAAACAACAAAACAGTGAGCCATCTTCTAAAACACATGCTTAGATGTGTGATGAGGAAGAGGAGCTGGACTCACCTGCAGGTTCAGGCCTCATGTTTTCATACTCACTGGAGAGAAGAGTCTGTCTGTCCAGAGGGAGGCGCCCTCTTCTCCTCTTTCTCCTTCCTTGGTGTTTAACGGCAGCTTGGATCCTTCTCTTTGCATTACTGCCATCTTCTGGTGTGAGTTAACTCCTGCAGCATCTGATTTGTCTTGTCATCAGTCCTGTTCTCTAAAGTTTCCCAGATGTTTCCTGGCTCTCCAGTTTGTCCTTTACAATCCCTCCTGCCGTTTCCATTCCCTCCATCATGTCTTTCCTCTGTGGAGGATATTTCCTGCAGTTAACTAGTACACCCTCTACGCTGTCTGGTACCTCACAGTGTTCACAAAGGCCTGTTGGATGTTTCCCTATGATGATTCCCATTCACATTGCTGTGTCCTATTCTTGAGTTAACACCTCCTCTTTTCTCCCCCATTTCTCTCAGTGGAGTGTAGATGTCTCCCCCTTGTTTCTTGATCCCGGTGCTGCTGCCACTCTATTGATTTCCTACATGCAATACACTTTCCCTCTGATTCAGACATTTTGATTGAGTTGTCTAGGCTTTCTTATTTAACAGCTTCTAACAGCACTCTCTCATTACCCATAATGCCCATGTGTGCAGGAATCCAGTAGAATGTGACCATAGTGCCTTGTTCAACTAGTCGTGAAGGTATTTCCATAACATGCAGCTCCATCATGACTTTTTATCTCTGTATTTAAAGTTAGAGACAGGGTCAGTGCAGAACTCAATCTCATTGGCTGAACAGGGTGGAGGGATGGTCACAGGTGTGGTCGAGTGTGGGCGTGGCAGATCACCTGGTAAAGTGTTGGTAGTTTGAATAATGGACTGCAGTTAAATGTTTTCAGATACACCCTGAATTCTAATATCAATGATCTTCTGTAGTTTAATTGTTTTTAAAGCAAAAATGAACTTCATTTATAATTATAATGAGATGATAATGAGACAACCACAAACTTCACCATTGTTTCATAATTCTGAGTCAAATCCTTTAGTTCAGTTTGAAATTTTTATGTTTTTAATAATTTAAATTTTTTGCATTCACATATCAGGAGATCAATAAATTAAGTTTTTGCAGTTTTATTTTTCAAGCTGCAACAGCAGCATTTTGTCATCAGTGCTCCTCCACTTGTTTGAGCCTCCGGCTGCCGGCCTTTGCCACAGTGATGACCATGATGAGGAAGACGCCCACAGTCCAGACTCCTGCTACAGGCAGCACCACTGTCGACAGTATGCCTGAAACAACACATAGAATAGAGATAGTAGTCATGTGTACACAAACACACATCAAAGTGCGGCCTCTGGACAAACAAAGACGAATGGAAGATGTGACACAGAAATAACTTCCTGATTACACAGCAGCAGGAGTACGGCCACAATGATCGGAGCTTACTGGTTTGAGGTCGATCTGGCATTTCTATTCTGATTGGTCCATATGACAGGAGACCCTGGATGGGGTCTGCCCTCGCTGCTTCTCTCTTACTGATCGAATTACAGCTCTGCAAAGAAAACCACAATGAGACACTGACATCTTATAAAATGACTCTTCTTTGTCTTTGAGACTTGACTAATGCAGAGACCAGGATCTTTCAAAATAATACAATTTCATAATGATACCATCAAAACATAAATGATTGTATCATTTTTGAGCAACGTAAGATATCATTGTTGACACTTTATTGCATCACTTACAGTAAACTATATCATATGATGGGGAACAGCTTTCTGAATTAATTTATCTGATAATAAGATACCCGACCAAGTAATAATCCGACCAAGTCAAAGGTCATGAGGCCTAAAGTCCCGTGGGCGTCTGTGTGCTGCCTCGTGCGACAGTGAGTGATGTGAGCTCACAGGTATACAGGACTGGTGGTCCTCGGCCTCACACAGCTGTACGGAGCAGTGAAGGTAGAAGCTGTTTGGTTCTGCTGTGAAGCGAAACATGTCGAAGCTGTAGCGGATGGTGGAACTCTCTCCATTTCTGCCAGACTCTCCCTTGCTCACATTGAGAAAAGAGACAGTTTGGTCGTTCACGCACCTGAAGAAAGAGGAGGAGAAGGGATGTTATTTGCTGAACTCATAGTAACTGAGGCTACATCATTACTACTAAATCTCTGTCCGCATGAGCATATCGGCTCTGTATCAGTTTTAATCCCCATTAAAAAACGACACTCACATACACTACGGGCGGAAACAGGAAGCATTGATTGTTATTTGCAGAATCGTTGCTCATGCACATTTAAACAGTTGTATTATTGTCAAATGCAGAATTTAACTGCACAGCAGCAGTTAGCAAAGACGGCAGGGTTAGCAACACTTGTGATTGATCATCCATGCTACTCTTCACACTGGTAGCCGAGGCCAATTCCAGCTGTTGATAGGAACAAGTGAAGGCCATGTCATGACTGAAAAGACCTAATCAGCAAGTGGTTGTGAATGTTTACGTCATCATTTCAGCCCATCCAAACATCTCAGTTCTCTAAAACTCCAGAGTAGTGAGGACGCTGGGTGATAAAAACATAGTAGTATTGATGTAGCCTGAGGTAAACAGTCTGCAGTGAGAGATGACTGGACCCGTTCTGGAGCAGCGTGTAAGCTGATCCCTCTGTTGAGTTGGGCTGGGGAGACTGTGTGGCCCAACACTCGTTGATGCGGAGCAGGAAAAAGTCTGCCGGCTCCGTCACTGCCACCTGCACGTAGACCTGGACACATTTTGTTAAAGACAAAACACTCACAGTACAAATAACCAACATCTGAGCGATACTTGATCAAACCGATCGATAAGAGTACGAACCTTGTCTCGGAGTTCAATGGTGGGGGCGCTGCTGAAAGCCTGTGTGTATGTGTGGTCTGTGTAGAGCATCATCTGGATCACAGCATCGAGTTCATCTGCACGCACGACCATCTCACTGAGCGAGCGCAGAGAGAGACAGTCAGGGAAGGTCTGATGAGCTCAGCACACACACGTGAATGTAACAGTGGTGAACCAGCGAGGAGGCAAATAAAACTGAAGCAAATCGCAGGCATGGTGCATAGAGTCCAACTCTGGTGAACTTTGACCCCCCAATATTCTTCTATGTGTGCACTTGTGCCCCAACACTGCTGATGTCGGACGTTTTCATCTGTAGCACAGACTTCTTTGTCTCCTTCTGTGTTAGACATGTTCAGTTGCCATGGAGACAGCTATTATAATAATAATAATAATAGTAGTAGTAATCCATCTATGCCAATTATCCCACTTGATCTTCCTGGTAAATGACCTTTGACCTCTTCCCAGTTTGATGCAGCGACCAGGTTTGACCTGATGTTTAAAAACAGCAGATGTTTCGTATTCGTTGAGACCCATGTCCTCAGATGATCACACTTCATACTTAAGAAACGTGATACATGAAACCTTCACTAAAATGTGTCAAACCTTTTTTTCCAAGGTAAAGGGTTATAGAGATCATCATCATGCACTGTCCAGGTATTTTGCACATACATATCAACGTTCTTGCTTTCGCACGTTGCTTCTCGTTTACCTGGAAAATGGAACGACTGGGAAAGGCAGACTGACGCTTCTGACGTATGGGAAGACACACGTGTAGATGATCTTAATGACGGGATCTCTGATGATATTTCCTATAACCTGAGGGTCCGTTAGCAGACTCAGGGAGTACGAGATGTGAGTAATGTTTTTCTGCAAGAAAAAAAACAAAAAACTCAAATAAAACTTTGCTATTTGAGGCGTCAACTTGCAAGGTTGGTGTTGTCTTGCTACACAAGTGATATTAACTTGTCAAAGTAGACCTTTGTGTGAAGTGTATTTATGCACGAGTACTCTGCAGTTGTACCTCCAGCGGTTTGCCTCCACACGTCAAATACTGCTCTTTGGATATAGAGGACATGAAGTACGACACGCCATCGATCTCCTCCTTCCGAACACGACATGTTTTGTTGGGTAAGTGCAGAGACTCCAGCGGCACGTTGTAGTACTTGAAGAAATCTTCTATGGCTCTGACTGAAATGTAGTCTCTGCCACACATCACTGTGATTTGTGCGCCTGTAAAAGACAATGGTGATAATACTTGAGTATAACTTAGTCATCGCATCACATAACAGCAGAACTTTTTTCTGTTCTTAACTCTGTCTATTTTTGTAACTGTTGTGTTCATTATTATCGTCAGTGAATGTTTGGGACCTCCCTCATATACGAGATGATGCTTCTCAAGGGGTTTATCCCATGACAGTAGAATTACTCATGGAACATGTGATGATAAAACTTGACCTACTTTTGTCACACAGGTCTCCATAATATCCCACAGTGCATTTGCAGCGTCGATGGTCTTTGGTCAGGACACATGTTGTTTGGTTGGTGCAGTGTTCAACGCTGCAGAGTCCTGACACACAGATACAGGACTTCATGACAGATACAAACTACAACACAGATTCAAACTACAACACAGATTCAAACTAACACACAGATTTAAACTAACACAAAATTCAAACTACAACACAGATTCAAACTAACACACAATTCAAACTACAACACAGATTTAAAGGACAACACAGATTTAAACTAAAACACAGATTTAAACTACAACACAGATTTAAAGGACAACACAGATTGATGTTTAAACTACAGATTGAGACAAATTTACCTTCAACCCTGTGGCACGTGAGGCCGAGCAGCAGCACGAGGAGCACGCTCAGCTGTTTGAAATGAAGAATCTGAATCATGTGATGTGTAAAGTTTTTAATGGAAAATAATTGTGTTTACACTTCTCTCACCTCCGTGTGGATCCGCGTCATCGCTGTAGAATAATATTTTTATGTTACTCTTAAATTTATTTGCAGTCAGACGTGATGCTCTCTTTCTCTCTCTCTCTCTCTCTCTCTCTCTGCTGATCTTTAATGATCAACAGCTGTGTTACACCGATCTGTGCCTGCAGGGGGAGCTCATGATCCTTATCGCGACAGAATCTGTTAACGGTGTTTTTATAGTGCTCTGAAAATAAAGTTTATTATATCATAATTATTATTTTACATTTTTCATAGCTTTTACAAATATAATGTAAATGTATATACAGTTTATATACAATTTAACCCTAATTGAACAAAGTGTGAAAGCTGACAGAGGTGTGTTCACTTACACACACCAAAGTTTGTCATTATCATTTTTTATCTTGAACAGAAATAAAATATCAGAGGACCACTGCTGTTAGCACAAAGTGATTCAGTGGGAGTTTAACCCGGCAGCTCTCAGTGAAGCAGCTCCACAATCAACTCTGCAGTAACAATTATCAAACTGAATGTGCTCAGCCACTGGGAACTCTCAGATTTTACTCTCACAGTTAAAAGGAAAGGGAAATGAAACCATGTTTTTATTGTTAGAATTCAAAGTAGACAATGGGTGAACGGTAAGAAATGACCATGTCCACAGGGAGCGTCATTAAGTGGGTCATCGTTTTTCCTCCTGAGCCAACTCCTCTCACCCAGAGGCTGGAGTCCATATTTCCAGAGATGATCATGACACAGGCCTCCCTCCTGTCTGAGAGCAGACCATCTGTCTGTGTCAGGACGGACCAGAGCCTGATAGGTTATTGATAAGAATCTCATGATGATTGATGAGGTACTTTTCCCTCAGTCACTGAGATAAATGTGTGGTGTCCCTGCTTCTTTTCTATTTGTGATAACTTGAGTAGACCTCTGATATGAAATATGAAACATTAACACACAAACACTCAGATGGTAAATGTTTGCATAAAGGATTAGGACTAATAAGCCACAGTTAGAATAAATGTGTTACTTACGACAAAAGCCCCTTGTGTGATGTTTGAATGATCGAATTAATTATCTGAACAGATTAAGAATATTCTTGCATATTTCTTCATGTTAGTAGAAACAATATAGTCCCATAGATCTGATTTAAATCTTTATCTGATAAATATTTGATAAACTGAAGGTATGTTAGTCGTATTTCATTTCTGATATATAACCATATGTCATTTTAATGTCTCATAAATGATGGACGCATTATATTGTGTGAAAAAAACATATGGTGAGGAGGGGTTTGGTTAAAACACCCCAAGACTCTAAAACTACCTGCCACTGGTTTTACTAAACATTTTAAACTTTCTAATTAAACCCCTTGAAATTATCTGCTCGTATCAATCTTGTTCAAATATTCTTCTATTCCTCCAAAGACAATTGTGACTCAAACAACAGAAAAAAGAGAAGAAACACTGTCAATATTCTCTCAGTTTATAACAGACAAAAAGAGGTTCAAAAGGATTTTACAAGTTTGTGTTTTGCAGAGTTGTGATGTGTTGAAAACTGTCAGTGAACATTGCTTGGTCATCATTTCAATTTATGAAGATGGGAGACAAAAGAGAAAATGATGTGATTGAAAAATCATAAAGTTGGCAAAGCAGATGAAACTGTTCAATCCTACATTCACATTACATTTTACGAGCAAATTCCGGTCATCTCCATTAGCAGCAGCAACATGTCGAGGTTCTTGGTCTCGTCGGCTGTGGTGTGGTGCCACCCTGGTGTTGTGAAATAGCCGGGTTATCTGAGGTGTTTGTCATCGGCCTGATTCACAACACCAGCTGCAGCGCACGCACCTGAGAGGCTGGTCTTCTTCTGCTGGAGATAAAACACACACTGACACACACAGAGGAACAACTCATCCAACAGGGATGTGAAGAGACAACTCCGCAGTTAATCCGCATCAGATTTTAGCAGGAGACATCTAATCCCATGTCTTTAATAAACCAGGTGATTTTAACATGATCAGGCATCATTAATATTAAATGTTGAGAGTCGTGTTGTGTCAGAGCTCCCGACAAGTCTGAGTACAACAGCCTGCAGATCCCACACTTACTTGGCTCGGCTCCGTCTGTGGCCGTGCATGAACTCAACATCTCCGAACAGTTATGTGGAGCAGCCAAGACAGAATGAGCCTCCATCTGTGTTCTCTCAGGCCAGACTGAGGGACATAAGAGTGAGGGTCACAGTTTTAATGGGGCGGGTGGTTGGTGATTGTTACTGCACATGCGGTAACTTGTGTCTAGGGGCCGGGAAACCTCAGCAGAAGTCAGTGTGTGCTGGTATTTACCTGGATGGGAGAGGGTGGGATTGTAGCTGGATGCTGCCCTGAGTGTTTGGGTAAATTGCAAAGGTAGGTGTGTAGGTTTAAGCAGAAAATGTTCCTAGTGTGATGAGGTTTGAATTATATTTCTGGATCAAAGTCTTAACTGAAGCCGTAACTCGGATAGAGTGGATATGAACATTATTCAAGGAAAACATTTCTGTCCCATCAATACATTTCAATAAAACAACTAATTTGCTTAAGTAATAAGCAAAACTTCTGATTCCTTTTTCCATCAATCAGCAGTCGTAGACAGTAACTTAATGATGTTAAACCAGAGGGAAAGGAAAAGTCTAAAACTGAAAATCTTCAATTACATTTGTTCTTGACCTCACTCAAGATAAATGAGCTCAGAAGGAATTGGACACTTTTCACAATTTGCAAAAAAAAAAAAAGATGCAATAAGATCGACCTGTGAAAACAGAGGTCTGTTTGTGTTCATCTTGTTAATGAATAATCTCATATTCATTTGATAAAATTGTAGTTTGTCTGTGATTTGTTTGATGTTTTGTTGAACAAAACAAATGAAGATGAACCTTGTGGAGGACAATGTTCCTTTTGACAACAAATCTGTGTGTTGGTCCTTCGTGAAAACACGAGAAGGTGTGATGATGTCAATCAAAACCTAACACCCGGTTGAGAGGTGTTGTATAAGACATGTACACTCAGGGGATCCTTCACCCTATAGACGTCAGCAGAGGCAGAGAAAATCTTCCTCTCTGAAATGACCCAGACTGAGAAAACAAGTTTGAACAGCTGTGGGATAAGGCTCTGTGTATGAAAGTGTTTGAATCATTGTGCAATAGAAAACAGAAAGTCCAATTTAAAGGTGCATCGATTGGAAGCTCCTTCTCTTGCAATGAAAAAGACTTGACTGGCTTCTCTGGGCGCGCAACAGAAAAAAACATAGTGAAGTGGAAAAATGAGGCAAAATGAATAAAATGAGGCAAAACATAAAATAAGAAATAAAAATGCAACTGAAATGTATGCTTCGTTTTTTATTCCAAATCTTCACAGATACAAATGTGAAACAACAAAATGGGGGAACACAACAAAGAACTGACAAACAGCGACGGGTGATTAACTGTGTGTTAACTCACAACAAAACAACAAAATAAGTGTGTGTGTGTGATTGTATATTCAAAAGCCAAAAGGTTTATGGTTTTCAGAAGGCTGCTCTGTGTGTGTGTGTGTGTGTGTGTGTGTGTGTGTGTGTGTGTGTGTGTGTGTGTG